TATCTCAGCTATTGTCATTGAAACAGAAATTGGCACATCAAACAAAAAACATTATTTTAATTATGTATACAATTCACCACTCTCCTATGCACAATGGAAGGTATTAGTGTAGGTTTTCTGACCAACCTATTCTACATAAACAACATCTTAAAAAGCAGAGACCTCACCTTGCCAACAAAGGTCCGCATAGTCAAAGCTATGTTTTTTTCAGTAGGGATGTATGGAAGTGAGAGCTGGAACATAAAGAAGGCTGACCTGCGAAGAATTAATACTTTCGAATTATGGTCATGGAGGAGACTCTTTGAGAGTCCCCTGGACTGCAAGGAGAACAAACCTATCCATTCTGAATGAAATCAACCCTGAATGCTCACCGGAAGGACAGATCCTGAAGCTGACGCTCCAATGCTTTCACCATCTCATAGAACAGAAGACTCCCTGGAAAAGACCCTGATGTTGGGAAAGTGTGAAGGCAAGAGGAGAAGGGGACGACAGAGGACGAGATGCTTGGACAGTGTCATCGAAGCTACCAACATGAACATGACCCAAATCAGGGAGGCAGTGGAAGACAGGAGGGCCTGGTGTGCTCTGGTCCATGGGGGTCATGAAGAGTTGGACACAACTAAATGACTAAACAACAACAACATTCTCCATCCCCTGAAAAAGCTGATTTGTGGCAAGACAAATCAACACAACTTCATAACACATAATCTAAATACTTGATCCTCCAAAACATGAACATGACCCAAATCAGGGAGGCAGTGGAAGACAGGAGGGCCTGGTGTGCTCTGGTCCATGGGGGTCATGAAGAGTTGGACACAACTAAATGACTAAACAACAACAACATTCTCCATCCCCTGAAAAAGCTGATTTGTGGCAAGACAAATCAACACAACTTCATAACACATAATCTAAATACTTGATCCTCCAAACATGCAGAAGAACTGTCCATTACTATAGGCCAGTGTTCCCCAACCTTTTCCGCACCATAGACTGGTTGGGGGTGGCATGGTATGTGCACTTGGGGGGGCAGGGGCACCCCTGCACTCACGGGTGGGTGTGGTGCACTGTCACTCTTGCCAATTCAAAAACTAAAACAGTGGGAGAACAGATATAACCCAAACTGTTGTTGATTGATTTGCAATCTATAAAATGGCCCCTCCTGATGTCACTTTCCTATTCTTCAAGACCTTAAATAAACTTTTGTGCCAGGGTTCATAAATACCAGGAGCATCTTTTAAATGAGTTCACAAACAAATGCAGGTTTGGAAGGGAGACATTTCAGCAGAAATTATTTCCATGGAACTCATTTAGAATTACAATTTTACTGCACACGCTTCTGCATGTCTACTCATAAATGAAAACAATTTAATTCATTTGGACTCACTTCTATGTTAGCAGGGACAAGACACTAGACTTAGTCTGTCATAGGCTCCACACAGAGAAAGTTAAATATGTGTAAGGCTGGACCTCAGCATTTGGAATTCAGCCCAGTTGAGCTGACTGGCAATTATATCAGATCATGCTGCATTCCACACTTCAATATTAGGGCTTGAAATCACTCCACATTTAAATACAGTGGTGCCTCGATTTACGACTGTCTTGAGTTGCGACCAATTCGAGTTACGACCAGCTCCGGTCGCAACATTTTGCTTTGACTTGCAACTGGCGCTTTGAGATACAACCGGGAAAAAGCTGGGGAACTGCTAACCGTTGGTCAGTGAAAAGGCTTGCTTCTCTGTAGCTCCTTTGCCCCAGCGGTTAGAGAGTGTGTATTCGCAGAGAGGCTTCAGACTGCCTGGTACTGCTTTTTGCTTTTTAAAATTTTAAAACTGTTCTGGGTGAGTACTGTACATGGTTTTGCAGCACGGGTTTGGGCTGGGTGGGTGGGTGGTTATATTTTTGTGCTGTGATGGGTCTTGCAGTGTGTTTTTTAGTCCCTGCTAGAATGAGTTCATTTGATTCTGTGGCTCCTACGGTATGGGCTCATCGAGTGGGTAGTTATGATGGGTCTTGCAGTGTGTATTTTAGTCCCTGCTGGAATAGGGTTTTTTTTTCCCCAAATGGATTAATCGCGTTTCAATGTATTCCTATGGGAAATGGTGCTTTGAGTTATGATCAACTTGAGTTATGACCATCATTCTGGAACAGATTAAGTTTGCAACTCAAGTCACTACTGTAGTACATCTCACTGTTTGAAAAAAATGACTGGAGAAGACATTAGTTTTCTAAACTAAACTCTCTAGGCTATATACTAGGGTTTTCTTTCACTACAACCAGAATCAAATGCCAGAATAAATTGGAACAGCACTTACTCCTCAACTGTGAAAGAGTGATTAAAAAGAAATGAGGTGTGTGACACTTTATCTGCCTGTCTTGCATTACATGATGCCTTTGCACTAGGAAGTGGAAAGTGAAATCCAATGGATGCTGTTTTCTAACAAGTCTCTAATGACGTGTGTGTGTGTGTGTGTGTGTGTGTGTGTGTGAACATACTGAATGAAGGTTCAATTTATTAGGTTGATATGCCAAATTCTTAGCACTGTGACCATTCATATAATCAAAACTGGGAAAAGTTAGCCACTGTAGTGCAAAAAAAGGGGGGGCTTTATCTGAGCTCTACATATAATACATACACAAGTAAGCATTCCCAGAGGTGGGAATGCAGCTGATGTGGAAGACATTTTTAATAGGCTAATGAAGAAAGTATAGAGCAGACATGGTCTAGAGGGGTGGGGTATAAATTTAATAAATAAATAAATTTTGAGAATATTATGTCTTCAAATGGTTAAGAATTGTTTTTTAAATAATCCAGCCATGAAGAATTTGAATAACCAGAACTTACTGCGGTTAAGTGTTCCCAATTCTAATAGGATCTTTCTGTCCATATGCACCAAATAAGCAGGATTTTTTTTTAAAAAAGTCGTTGCTACCCAATTATAAGTAGTTAACCAGGAGCTAGTCATAATCACAACTGTTATTCATATAAGACTTGCATAACTGACTATGGGTAGTTGTGGCTAACTAACTGATAAGATGATGGGGTACATCTTGGTGCCACAAGCAGTTGTGTGAGACATGTGACTGGAGCATACCCTGGCATTTCATCAATAAGTTGCAATTAGCTGCAGCAAGTTATGCAAACTTGTTTACTGTTCTACTTTGAGAAAAGTATGTACACTTTGATCTAGGTGTTCGCAGAGCAATTATTTTACATGCAGCACACAGTTATGTCTGCATTTTTAAGGAGAGAGACAATCTGTATGGACAGTGTCTGAGTTATCTTCTCTCAATGAAAAGCCATCTCAGGAAGTGTATGGTGCCTGTGCATTAAGACTCCCATGCATGGGACTTCTATGCACAGGATACACTGCTGGATTGTGGCACTGTACAGCAGATGTTAAGTCTGAGGCCAGATGCTGAGGACTTGCAGACTGGAATATTATAGAGTTAAATCAACATAATAAAACAAGAAAAAGAAACAGATGCTAGTCTTGTTGATTTTGATCCTCCATTGATAGCAAAAAATGTAGACAGCTGTAACAGAATACTTTAAGGGTCAGAGTTATTCATGATTAAAAATATAGTAGCTGTAATATTAAACTCCCAAGAATAAAAAAGGGGACAGAAGCATAGTAAGAATGGCTAGTCAGTTGTGCTTATTGCTACTCGTCCCACCCACTTCTTACAGTCCATAATGTCAAAAATTGTGACACTAAAAAGACGGCCAAAAGAGTCAACATAAGGAACTGTACTTTTGCAGTTGTGGCCCCTTCCCTTTGGAACAAATTTTCAACTTGGACCCATCACATGCTTTCCCTCTCTGTTTTTAAGCAATTAGTAAAATAACTGTATTATTCAAAGGTGCCTTTTCTTAACTACCCAAGATGCTCAAATCTCTTTTAATTTGTTTAATTTCTATTGTAAACTAGGTTTTAGCTAGAGACAAGATTATATCTATTTTCTGTGTTTATTGTTGGGTATTTATTGTATTTATATGGGTTTTTAATGTGTTGTAAATAATTCAGAGAGGACCCAAACTGATTAATTTGTTTGGGCATTATGTATATACCTCTAAATTAAAAATACTAGCAGACTCAGTAATGTTAGAATACACAATCTTTGTATTTAGTGTTTGTTTAAAGCCTGATACACATTTGCTGCCTGCAGCTTAATAACCACACGAAAATTGAACTGGCTCCGTGAATGGTTCAGCAAGTTTTCACCACAGCAGTTCATACCAGACCAAACAGAAGCTGCAGTGTTGCAATGAAAACTACCTGAATGCGGAACGCATCTGATTTTAAACTGGGAGAGCCTTTATCTGTATCTGTATCTATGGGATAACTTATCGCAATGATCTGTGGAACAACCAGTCTTACAAACAAACATCTGTTTCAAAAGTTACCAGAGGACAGTTCTCCATTCGTCCTTACCTCAAATGTTGTAGGGATTAAATCATTGTCAAATTGCTTTTAGAAGAAAAACAAGAAGATGCTTTACACGGAGTCTGATTATTGGCCCAACTAATTCAATTCCGGAAGCACTAGCTGGGAACACCTCGCCATGGCTTCATGCAGATGTTTCTCCAGCGTTTGCTGGAGATGCTGCAGGAGCTCAGCGTGGGGTTTTCTGCATTTAGGACAAGTGTTCTGCTCTTGAGCTATGGTCCCTTCCCTTGGAAGATCAGGGGCCTCAAAGTTCCCTTTGCAAAGTCAAGCACCTGGACTGCCAATGCAGTACTTGTACAGTCACCTGGTCGCACTCTTCTCAGCAGTACCAAACCATAACAAAAAAAGAGATGCACTGTATGTTTATTCCTAAATGTAGATCTTTGCCTGTACATGAGCCTATAGTAAAATGTGCCTTGGATTGCCGTTTTTGGTGAAGCATTTCCATTCCTTTTGTCGAACATGTAAGCAGGAGAAAGGAAAACTGGTGCAATAAATTAATCAGCTGAAAGGCATGTAAATTATATATTGATATGTCAAGTTACTACTCACCCTGACTTCATATTCATTATCAGAATAATCCACAGTTTGACAGATATAGCTGTATCCTCGAGCTCTTGATGCCACAAATAACTGAAAATGTTAAATCGACAAGTTAATTCCTTGTAAGTCCTTTTGATTATATTCAAGAAAGCAGTCACAATTTTAAAGGAAGTTACTCAAAGCAGTATTCGGAGAGAGAGAGAAAAAACATTGGCACAAACAGAGGAGGGTTGTCAGTGTCTAGTTCTGCCTTCTCCATCCCAAACATGTTGCTTCTTTTCCTAATGTGCCACTTTTATACCATGTGTGTTGTATGATATGGTAGACCATTCATGCTAGACACCCTTCCATATCTTATTTTAGAGCAAGGGTGAGAAATTTCCAGAAGTTTGGGGGCTGTGCCCTATTATCCCTGTGGCCTATAGCCCCTGGCACCCTTCTCAGTGTCTGTGTCCCTAACATCCACTTTCCTCACTAGGAATAGAGTTTGGTCAAGACCAGGTTGATTATGGAGTACTATACCGTGAAGCATGGTCCTGATGTGAACTGAACAGCTGGCTAAGTACCATATTGAGTAAGACAAATCATTATGTTCAGAGTCTTAAGGGAGTCCTGTAAAAAGTCATGCCTTGCTGCCCCCATCACATGGGTGAGCTGCAGATCTGTGGCCTCTGTCTTCAGTAGACTGTGGTTTGATGTTCCAATGAGTAATGCCTGACTTACAGACAAAGTCAAATAGGCTAATTTAAGAGTTGGGTTATTATTTCACAGCATTCCTCACTGAAACATCAAGCCACCATCTACTGAAACTCTGTAAGTAAAATTTTGAGGGGGGGAATCTGAAGACAGCTATCAGCCATTACTGACTAATGGTTTCAAATTACAATTTGTCAAATTGTTTTTCACAATTTTTTGTGGGTTGTATATCTTGGGAGATAAAATGCAGAATAAAAACTAGACAATGAAATAGCCTGCTTTTCTACTGAAAGTAAACAAGGTCATTATTCTGTAGTATCCTTTAACTTTACTGCAACGATCAGAATTTGGAACTGGATTTGCAAGTCTGTATAGATTTCTAAAAATGTAAAAGGAATCACTTTCTTATAATTAAGTTGTTTCACAAAATGACAAAATGTTGTTGCTTTTTTAAAGGTAAACACTGTTCAGTTCAAATTTTTTTTGGAACACTGTGGCCAAAATCCTTTTGATTCAGTGGGCATACTCTCATGCAATTTGCTATGCTACGCAACAGGATTTTGGCTTGTGGGTTGGATCTGAACTTTTGTGAACCTAAGAACTCCTGCTTCTCCTGGACCAGAATTCTGCAGAGGCTTCTTGATGAAGGAAGGATGTGGGATGCAGATTTTCACCAACTTCCTCTCTAATGCCATTCTAAAATATCACAAAAATGGCAACGGAAGCTTTGTAGGAAAAAAAGAAATAGAGAAAATTACAACTATGTCTCTTCTTACAGTGCCATTGGAATTCTGTTAACATATTTTAAGATTTTCTCAGACAGTTCCCTAACTAATAATTCTGGTGCTCAGGACCAAAGAAAACAAACCAACATAAAACAAAAGCAAAGCAAAACAACGCTGCTACTCTAAATGCACCAAATATAGAGAGTGTGGCCTACGGGTTACCCTCTTCCTTGATAGTGACAAGACAAATGCAGGTTGTGGTGCTGAATAACCCAACCGCACTCATGACACACACCCCAGAACCATGCTCAGCCACCTCCATTGCTGGAAAAAGAAATACAAAAAACCCTCCAACAGTATGTGCCCCTCAGCCACCTCCATTGCTGGAAAAAGAAATATAAAAAACCCTCCAACAGTATGTGCTCCTAGAGAAAAGAAAAGAAAAGAAAGGGCAGCCATTTCTTTTCCTGAACACAGTTTTCATTTGAATGTTGGGTTTAAGGAGAAATTCTGAGAAGCAAAGCATGATGGGAAACCTAGTGTCTGCGGTTTCTGTGAATGATTACCAAATATGCCCCTGTCAATGTATTTGCCCTGTCTACTCATGACAATGCATTTAATAACATAGAAAAATACTTACGTTTTACCAACTGTGTAAATACAATCCATTAAATTGTATGAGTAAACTGTACCCGTTCTTAATTTATTTTAATACTGTTTCCATGTATAAACCATTAGGAAAAGGGAAAAATCTTAAAGAAAACACATAATTGCAAAAGCAAATACAGTCAAATATAGCTTAATTTTAACATTTCAAGATAATCTCTTTGTTTGTGTTAAAAGATAATCCTTTAAGTAACTTTCACTATCTAGCATTTCCATCGAAGTTTGATGCTAATTGCAGAGCTTTCTTCCCCCATTTTTTAAGGCTCTAAGTTGATACACCCAGGTCTAGATTTGCTTGGGGCTCAGCAGCTTAAAAATGCTCCACTGAGACAGCCATACATTTGTTTTTGATTGTCTGAATAAGTAGCCTGATTGAGTCCAAGGCATTGCTGAGAAACAAGCATTACACCCCCAAAAGGCTATGTAAATACTGAAGAAAATAAAACCTCAAAACATTCCCTGCCTTTTAACTAAATACAAAGTCTAATAAATTACATGCTAGGCTATTCAAGCCTATATTGTTAAGGTTGTTGTGGGTTTTTCGGGCTCTTTGGCCGTGTTCTGAAGGTTGTTCTTCCTAACGTTTCGCCAGTCTCTGTGGCCGGCATCTTCAGAGGACAGCACTCTGTCCATATTGTAAAATAGTCCATTCCACTATGAATGGATATAAAAATCAATTATACTACCATTTGCTCACCTAACTAGCTTTTTTAGACCTAACACCACCAATGTAAAAGTCTCATTCAAATTTTTACAGATTAGCTTCAATAGAATGTGATGCATATAAAGCCAAATTGGTCTCAAAATTCTTCCAATGCAACATTATTTTAAAAATCAAATTTTAGTTTGCTTTCAAAGTATACACTTTTAAATGAGGAGGATTTTCAACAAGGTAAGAACATAACTTTTAACCTTCCCCTCCCCAGTAAACAGGGGAAGAACTGGGTATCATACCACATTTTCACACACACAATCTTTCCTGGTACAGACTTCTAAACCATATTTTGCAAGTTACTAAGATTTGTAATTCTGTCTACAGATGGTAGGTGACTGCAGGAAGAATTGCCTTTTGTTTAGTCTATGGAAATGTTGAGTTAATTGAGTCCTGCTTTGCGCTGCTTTGGATTCAACCCAAATGCCAGTAAAAATCAAATTCAAATGTAAAAATGATATTCAAAAATCTAAATGATATTTGCTTGTCAAAACACAAACAAAATTGTTCGAATAATTTTAAGTCATGAATCAGTTATTCTATGATTTAGCTGAAATTCTGAATCAACCCACAGAATATGCTAGCTATGATTCAGAATCTCAGCTAACTTTCATTGAAATAAAATGGACCTAATTTTGAACAGGAACAAAGAGGATTTTACATACACACACACAAGCGAAACAGAATTACCTCTTTCAATATGTAGAAGTTGAGTAGAACCATTCCGAAGTTGTAAGTAACCAATAAGGAACGTAGCTGGAAAGGCTCCCTTGACTTCATCCATTTGGGACCAAGCCAAACAAAGAGGAGGTACACAGTGCTTATAGCCAATGTGGGAAATGGAGTTGCCATCAAAGGCCAGTTATCGACACGTTTATCTAGGGGAAAGCAGACAGGAAGTGACTGAAAATATGTTTTCAAATTACATTTTAAAAACTACTTCCATTTAAACAGGTGGGACTCGCAACAAAATGTGTGGAGAGCTGCCTCCACAGGGGTGCTCATTAACATCACCACTGAATGCTTCAGATCTGAGCCCTTGTCAGTGTAGGCTCACCTCACTGCTTTTGCACTTCAGAAATCAGCTGTCTTTCGTGATGCCTTTTCACAAATGGTAAACAAACCCTATAAACTCTTTAATAACGATTCTCTGTGCTGGATTTTTGTTTTTGTTTATTTATTAGCTAGAAGATATGTACTAACATTGGAAGCTCCTGACCTAAGATGTTGCAGTCTGAACTATGCCCAATACAAAGAAAAACAAACAGAGAAACAAAAACAACTATAGGAGGTTGTTTGAAAACCAGCAGAAAGTTACCGTTATTAATCACACTTTGTCACTAATCTATTCAAGTCTTGAATCTTCTGGACAGTTGAAAATATACTGGTGTCTTCAGCATACAACCTGACACAATTGAATATATCAGGAACAGATTTTAACTGCTCTGTAGTGAAGAGAGAAATCCTGAAGCGGAGTTCAAATGAATTGGGCCTTTATGAAGTGCTGAATATTGTTTTGGCACTTCAGAAGTTTTAAAAGTTGAATTCTTTTTTTAAGCACTCACTGGGAAAATGAAACTAATTGAACAAAAGCGCCAGGAAGCTTGAAGCAATGGAAATTGACAACTCAAGTGGCAACAAAAAGCCCAAGCTCTCCTGGAAACCCCAAACATGGAGCCCATAGGAGAGAATTTCCCATCCCTGAGATCACTGGCCATTTTGGTAAGGAAGTATTTTAGAGAAAATAGAGATTGCACTTTGCATCATTTTTATTTTTGGGAGATTAGGTGAGTGCATATTGGACAATTTATTCTTTGATTTTTGGTGCTGCAGATCTTAATTCAATTGACTGAATGTGTGTGTGAAATTTGTGCCACTATGTAGGATTTGAGTGGGCTGGGTCACAGTAGCATCAGGAACAGGACCTAAGCTATCTCCTCTCCCCTGTTTTGTACTTTATTATAATTTTTTCAAATGCCAGCTTCTGGCTTTTATTTTTGCAGAATTTTGTCTGTTTCTTTTTTTTTTTTACTATTTGTGTCTGTGTTTCAGATGGGGCAGGGTACAAATGTGATGCACAAGGTGGCAGTCAAATAGTTTACCCACTGAGACAGCAAAGCTACTAAATAGTGTTATTAATTCCTGCACCAACAAACTTTTTTGCTGAGTAAATCAATTATATTTGAATCAACTGCACAACTCCCAGTACAGATGGGGAAGGAGGGAGGGAGGGAAAGTGATGTAAGCTTTGAATTGCTGAGGTTGAACAGTGTTTGATGTCATTTTGTTTCACCCTCACGTGCCTCTATTTTCCTCATTTTTGTGGATTTTTTTGGTGGGAAGGAACTAGAGATCCTCTCAAAGTGAACTAGCTGTGATTTGTGAAACAAATAATTTGGGATAAATTAAGTAGAGATATTTGCACAACAGTACTCTATTTAGATAAGTCATAAATTATACACAGAGATAAATGATATTGCTATTCGTACAATTGATAAGATTTATTAGCATAATTATTGACTCTAAGTTACAGCGTTTCCTCAAGCGAAGTTACACCTAAGGTTGCAAAATTCTGTGTAGTGGCTTGTATAATAATATAGATGATTAGATCACTGCAGTAATCAGATTAGAGATGTACACTTAATTGCTATTTGGATTTCACTCTGCTTTCTCTTGTGAATACAATCTTACTGTATTTTAGTTTTGTACATGGCTTTTTATTGTATTTTAGTTTGTATATCCAACATGGCTGCCCTATGGTCATAAAGTAAAGAGAAATATTGTAGTATTGTAACATCTGTTGTACTAACAAACAAATGCATAAAGTAGATAGTTTAATTGCTTTTATTTTTATCCCTCCCCCTTATGCTCCTGAAATTTTCAAATTAATAGTATCAAACTGATCTATCCTATAGTCAGAATTGATGAAGTGTAAATAAAACATAAAATGTTATTTATAGTACTATGTGCATTTTAAAATTACAATTCCTCACACGTAACTAACTATGCAGATTTACATCTTTATTTATTATTTTTATTTATAGTCAACTGCCCTGCTCAAGGCAGGAAACAAGCCAAAGCAGATCTGACAGATGGTTGTCCAATTCTCTCCTGAATATTTATTTATTTATTCGATTTATACCTCGCCCCCCTAGACAGCGTCTACTCGGGGCAGCTTACAAAATCATAAAATATCATTAAATCACAATAAAAACATCACAATCAAAAATAAACAACATTCATAATCAATATATATATGTGCCACCTTTCTCCTAAAAAGAGAATGTAATATATATGCCACCTTTTTCCTAAAAGACCCAATGCAGCTCATGGTTTCAAAAGAAACAAAGTTAAAGGCTAAAATAATAAATTATTATCATATTAAAAGGAATGAAACAAATATATTAAAACTTATAAATAAAATCAGTATTAAAAACACAAACAAAACAACAGAATACAATAATCTCTTTTTAAAAACCGTTGGTCAATTGGTCATTTAAAGGGAAACGTGTCTGAAGATAAAGGTCTTTGTCTGCTTGCAGGAGAACAAAGATGGAGCCACTTATGCTTGGTTAGCATTTCCTGCATTAACCACTGGACCAATGTTCCATCTAATTTCCACCAGCACTGGGTGGGCCGTGTTCGTGGGGTTCTGGCCGTGACCAGAATCAAATGGGTAGTAACACTGACTGTACGTGCATGGCACTGATGCAGCACTGTGAACCACTGGACCAATGTTCCATCTAATTTCTACCAGCACTGGGTGGGCCATGTTCGTGGGGTTCTGACCGTGACCAGAATCAAATGGGTGGCAACACTGACTGTAGGTGCATGGCACTGATGCAGCACTGCACAGTTGTGCACCCACACAGCTTAAAGAAAACAATGGACTGGACTAGTATCCAACAAGGAGTTGTAACACTGAAAATGAACTTCTGCTCTGAAGAATATGCCAGCACTCTTTACTTGGAATTAATTCTAATTAGAATAAATCATTTTTCCGAAAATATCTTTATCTAGTCTACACAGACAGTGGATCATAGGACTGTGTCTTTCTATCCATTCTTATGTCCTGTGTCTGTGAATGTCAAGTATGAGGAAAGGGAACATTAATATTTTAGTTTTACTATTTATTCTGTTTATTATTCTAATGCTGATTTGACATCTGCCTCTTTTTTATGTTTTATATTAACTTTTTTGTGCTTATGTTTAAACTGAAGGGCAATATAAAAATGTCTGTAATAAATAAATGAATAAATAATATCTGAACAGGGCTGGTGTTGTTGCTGCTCTTGTTGCGTGTCACCAAGTCCTTGTCAACTTATAGCAACCCTTTGAATCAGTGACCTCTGACAGGTGCTGTCAATAGCACTCTGCTTAGCCCTTGCTAATTTGAGGCTGTGGCTTCCTTTGTTGAGCCCATCTATCATATACTTGGACGTCCTCTTTTCCTGCTGCCTTTTTCATAACATAATCATCTTTTTTTGAGTCTTCTCATGATGTGTCCAAAGTACAATAGCCTCGGTTGAGTTATTTTTGCTTCTAGAGTTCAGCCTTGATTTGGTTTAGCATTCATTTATTTGTTTTCTGATGGTTTGTGGTTTCAGTAAAGATTTTCTCCAGCACCACATTTCAAAGGAATGGATTCTTTTTCTGTTGGCTTCCTTCACTGTCTTCTTTTCACATCCATACATAGCAATTGGCAATACCGTAGGGGATAGGAACATAAAATCCAATGTAAGAATCAAGAACCAACTGGGTGTTCTATACCTGTGGTCCCCGACCTTGGGTAACCCAGGTGTTCCTGGGCTGTAACTCCCAAAAACCTTGGTCCGCACAACTGGTGGGTCAAGGTGTTTGGGAACTGCAGTCCAAGAACACCTGGGTTACCCATGGTTGGGAGTCACTGCTCTAGACCGTTGTACGCTACATGTCTTGTACCTAAACCCAGGGAAAAACCTTCTTCCTCTCCCCATGGATATTAGAAACAGTAGCTCTCTGTAATTTGGAAATTGAGCTGAAATTGTATTTCCTTATTTTGAGGGGTATCAAAATTGAGGGGTATCACACCTGTGTCCATGCTGGGAACTTTTATCCACATGAAGAGTGAGAAGGAAAATCTCCAACAGGAGAGGAGGAAGGTTCACAATGATGGCCTTTCCAAAAATATTTTTTTCAAAGAAGACTGTAAAGTTACACCTACAGGATTTTGCCCAATGCATTGGGCAAAATCCTGTAGGTGTTAACTTTACGCTGATTCAACCCAGATTGTGTGCCAGAAGCATATAATTTACACTAATGAAAGTTCTCCCACTTTCGAATTCTGATGCTCACTGGGGCTTCCTTTTGCCCTGGGAAGCCTTTGAGAGCCTCAGGATGTGGGAGGGGAGTCTTTAATATTAAAAAAAAAATGCTCCTGATTTTGTAGCCATTCAAAAATAATTTTTTCCCATAAGCAAAGTCTTAGTAAATGACATACCATATAATCTGCAGTAAAACACATTAAAATGTGGAATTATTTATCCAGTTACCATGAAATTCCATAAACAAAATTGGTTAATTGTTTTTATGGTCATTTTGAATCAAAGTGGTAGATTGGAAACACAAGGGGAAGTAGCCAATGGCTGAAATCCAGTAGTAACCCATAACTAAAGTAGACCCCTGGAAACAGTGGAAATTTGGTGAGTCAACTCCTCTTTAAGTTCCACTGATTTAATGGTCCTACTCTAACTTTGACTTCCTACTGGATTTCAGCCAATATGGCAAAAAGGCAGTTCTTTAAATATTTTTTTAAATTAATGTTTTAACAGCCTTATGCTTAAGCACTATCTCATAAGTAATGTACATTAAACATTTAAGGATTAAATAAAATATATGG